ATTTTCATTTATAGTTATATTTGCAGTCTAAATTATTACATAGAAAGGCAGAATCATTTTTTGGCATGATTTCCTAGGTTTGAACAAGCATGCAATTGTATAAGAGAATTAAATCCCTTTGTTTTGTTTTTTAAGATTGCAGATGAAGAGTCAAAGAAAAGGACAAAACCTTTGCGAGTTAAAAAGCTTTATGTGTTGTCAGCCTTACTTATGGAACAGTGCCACGAACAAATGCAAAATGCACAAAGGGGAAAAGTTAAAGAGAAAAGTTCAGAGGTAGTGTCTTTTTTTTTTCCTTTCGGAATTCTGGTATGTACTACCTAGAATAAAGCAAGCTATCTTCATGGGAGGCTATAATGTTTTTCTAATAATCCTTTTTCCTGCTAAGAACAAAGCTTTCCTTAAAGCAAGTCTTCCATGAAAACCTATTAAGTATTATTTTAAAACATTTAAATCATATATATTAATAGATATTTTACTTCCCAAGTTTAATGTGGTTTTCCTAATATTTTCACTGTAACAATGAAAATCATACTAAGAAACTCCAGACTTTTTTTTTTCCTGCAAGACTGTCATTTTCATGTCATTTAGGAGTAAGGATTGATCCCAAAGAGTGATCTCTGATTAGATTATCTTACCTTTAATTTAGCAGGGAGATGGCTCCAGATATGAGGGAAACAAATAGAAGCATTTTTTTTTTCTGCGCACACATTCATCTTCATATGCCCAAATGAAATAGTTTAGACAAAGTTTTAAGAGCTCTGGTGTTGAAATGCAGTATTAATCCAAAGTATGAACCAGTCTGCAGATGTGCACAAAATATATTTGTACACACGTATACAATATTTATCTTTGAAAATCTGCACCATATGTTGTGCCTGTGCTCTGTATAAAATGTCTGACAGTGTTCACTTTAGGTCCATTTATATTTCCCCTAGTTAACACAGACAGTGGTGTAATCACCAAGTATAGAAAAGTTCTTTTCATGTATCCCCATTTCCTGCTGTATCTGTTTCATATAAAAATTACTTGTGATACTGCTTTGTTTTCAGAGTGCTTCAGCTTTGGCTGGTTTGCTGGAAGAAGATGTTCTTTCTTCAACTAATCGCTTTGCAGACAATGCTTGGCGAGGAGCTGAGGCTTACCATTTTTTCATACTTGCACAAAAACAGCTCTATAGAGGATCTGTAGATGCAGCACTTAAAACAGGTAGGACTTTATTTTTAACCCTGTAAAGAAGTTACAGAAACTGTTCTAATTGCACAGCGCATAATTTCATTTATAGTTGGCACTTTTTTCTGTTCTTAATAGATCCATGGAATTTAAACCAAAACCACATAATGAATTGATTATGGCTGCAGTCAATATGGCTGGAAAGGACTTTCCTGAAGACAATGCAAATCTTAACTTTCCAAATATTACCTGGTTAAATTGGTCAATTTCTGTAGCTATTCTGTTGACTGCTTCGTTTCTTTCCTTAAATTCTAAGGCACACCTGAATTCACATTGGACCTCCCGGTAGAGCTTCATAAAAAATCTGTGGCAGTTAAGAGGAGCAAGTAGTGCTTTATACTTTATCCAAGTAGTGAAGATCTATTTCAAAACCTTGTAACATCTTTAAAACAAACCAACCAAAGAAAATGAAGTGTTTCAAGAAGTTTCCCAGTCAAATCCCCTAATTTTATTTATTTTTAAAAAGCAATGCTTCATAGTCATGTCAGTGAAAAGACTTTTGTTCACTTTGTCCAATTTGTGGGATCAATACTGTGTCCTAGTAGCAAATATTTCATACCAGATGCTTGCAATTCTCAGAAGACGTGTAATAATTTCCCTGGATTTCTTTTTTTCTTCTTTTTTAGCTCTTCATTTGAGAGATTATGAAGACATTATCCCCGCAGTTGAAATCTATTCCCTTTTGGCACTCTGTGCATGTGCAAACAGAGCATTTGATACTTGCTCAAAAGCATTTGTTAAACTAGAATCCTTGGAAACTCTTAGGCCAGAGCAGAGGCAACAGTATGAAGATCTTGCTCTAGAGATATTCACAAGATACAGTCCAAAGTGTAACAAAAAGTCTGATCTGGATGATGTTCTTGAGAGGTGGGCTTATTTTTATATGATACTGTAATAATACTATCATTTTTTTCCTTCTGTTGGTCTATATTTTGGGTTTTAGCAGATTTTGTGTGTGACCAAGTTAATTAAATGCTTTGCTGCTTAAACCAAATATTGGGCAAGAATCATGCACGTGTCAGCCACTTTGCAGAAAGGGTAATACAGCACTGTATTGTTTGGGAAAATAGACACTGACTGCGTTCAGGAATTGGGCATAAAGATGTAACTTCACCTTAATTTGAAATGCAGGTGGACAGAGCACAGGAGTTTTAGGACTTCTGATACTGTGTCACATGACATTACTACTTTAATGTTACTGTTTGCATCACGGTTGTGGTGTGAAGCAAATATCCACAAGTCAATGTTTAACCATTATTAACTAATAAGTCCCAGTGTTTTGTGAATTACCTAAATCTACATGGTGTGAGGATATGTCAAGTGAAAAAACCAGAGTAAGAAGGGCACTTTTAAGGAGTAAGTCCTTGGAATGGCTATACCCACAACAGTGTCTTTGACATATGTTTCCTGCTAACAGCACGGAATTTGTGAGTATGAAAATTGACTGTGAGTCAATTTTCTTTTAGCAAATAGGATTTTAACATGTCTTGTTTGATCCTACTTTGCAGCTGTACAGAATCTCACTAACAGCTGTCAAGTTGACTCATCAGAGGAAGGAGCATAATAGTAGTGCTGTTGTCTAATCTGACCTTACCTTTATATGGCCTTCCCTTCACTCCGTCTTTTGGATCTGCTGGTCCTGATTTGTTGACTGTATGGTTCTAGGGGTGGGCATTCTCTGGTGTGAAGATTTACGTATTTGGCTATGTGAACAGTGAAGTGTTACATGATTTAATAACTTCTTATTAACAGTTGACACACCATGTTTTTATTCTTTCAGCTTTATTTACTCTCTTTTTTTTTTTTTTTTAATAGTGGAGATGAGAAACTTCCTGTATGTGTTGCAACAGGAGACCCTATCCTGGAGTATCGATTCTGGATGTGCAGTGTATGTAAGCACTGTATGAGAGCCAGTGAAGCAGGCAATTATAAGTCCTGTCCTCTGTGCCACAGCACAGTATAGCTGAGGATAAAGGCCCACGTATCCTCATTTATGATGTACTATATTTTAAAATACAACTCAAGTACTGTATTGTAGCAGATAGTGCTGCTATTAGGGAAACATTTAAAAAAACCCAAAACAGAAAACCCACAAGAGAAACCTTTACTGGTTCCATTTATGTGAATAAACAACCATGTTAATAGACTCCATTTTTGTTACACTTTTAAAAAAAGATTTAAGGTAAAAGCTTTCTTTTCTAATTGTAGATTGAGCCTAGTTTTAAAACCATGTGAGCTGAATGTAGGTTCATATTAGTATGTTTTACTCTGAGCAGGCTCCATTTTTTTTTGTTTCTGTAATTCCATAGGAGATTACTTGGTTTTCTCAGAATTCAGAGTTTTGTGAAGGAAGTAATTCCTGAGTTGAAATAATGTCACAATACTTCTGATAATGTTATTGTATACCTTTTTGTACTGCTGTTTTACTAGAGTAATGATACCAGTATAGACATGTTTTTGCTGGTTTCTTTTGCCAAGTGTATTTAAACCCACCACAGCAATAAAGGGCTTGAAAACACTCAGCAGTCAGTGTTGTCTGTCAGTATCCAGGTTCCTGAGCTTGGCTGATGTGATCTTCAACAAGGAAACCTCCATGAACCTTCAAACTGGAATCTGGCAATTTTTTTCCAGTGGCTTGAGAGCAGCTGACATCTGTTGAACAGATATCAGGACCTGAATGGTCACCCTTGTTACACACAAAGGTCTAAGGAACGATGTTTTACTTAGAAGTGCACTCTTCTATCTTACTGCTGGATTTGAGCCTCTGCTCTGAAGTGCTGCAGGTCCCCAATGCACAGGGTGAGCTTTCCCCAGGACCAGCCACCATTTGGCTGTTTGGAAAAGAGCCATGAGCTGCGACATTCATGTTGTGTGTTGGCACATTTCTGAGAGGAGAGTCTGACACCTCTTCTGCACTGTCTTTCAGGGCAAATCATGTCTCTCACCTAAACTTAGGCCAGGAAAGGATAAACCTCATTTGCCTAGAACCCTAGAGTTGTAGAACAGTTTGTGTTGGAAGGGACCTTAAAGATCATGTCATTTCAAACCCTTTGCCATGGGCAGGGACGTCTTCCAGTAGAGCAGGCTGCTCAAAGTCCCATCCAACCTAGCCTTGAACACTTCCAGGGGTGGGGCAGCCACAGCTTCTCTGAGAAACCTGTTCAGTGCTTCACCACCCTCACAGTAAAGAATTTCTTCCTTATGTCTAATCTAGACGTACCCTCCTTTAGATTAAAGCCAGGACCCTTTGTTCTGTCACTCTATGTCCTTGTAAAAGTCCCTCTCTGGTTCTCTTGTAGCCCCTTTAGGTACTGGAAGGTGCTGTAAGGTCTCCCTGGAGCTTTCTGTTCTCCAGGCTGAACAGCCTCAGCTCTCTCAGCCCGTCTCCATAGGAGGGGTAATCCAGCTCTCCAGGCGTCTTCATGGCCTCTGGACCCGCCCCAGCAGATCCGTGTCCTTCCTGTGCTGGGGGCCCCAGAGCTGGACACAGCCCTGCAGGTGGGGTCTCATAAGAGTGGAGCAGAGCGGAAGAATCACCTCCCCGGGCTGGTCACAGCTCTTCGATGCAGCCCAAGATACATTTTGTATCTAAAACACTGAAACACTGTATTTTGTGTGTATGTGTGTGTGCTCTGGTATTTGAGCTCCCTGTTCCATCCTGTTCATCCCTGTTCATCCCTCCCCGGGCTGAGCCCGGTCCTGCAGCAGTGCCCACGGGGGCAGCGCCCTCCGCCCGCCCTCCGCGGCTCCCCTTCCGTTCACGTCACGGGGCGATGGCGCAGGAGGCGGCCGAGCTGCTGGCGGCGGCGCGGGCCGAGCTGGCGGCGCGGCGGCTCTCGGCGGCCGAGGAGCTCTACAGCCGCTTCATCGCCCGCAGCCCCCCGGGGTAGGGCCGGGGCCGGGGCGTGGGGCGGGGGCGGCGGGCGGGTCCCCCGTAACTCCGCTCGCTCTGTGCCCGCAGCGCCCGCCGCGACCTCGCCACGGCCCTCAACGACCGCGGGCAGGTGCGGTACCTGCGCGTGGAGTTCGCCGCCGCCCTGCAGGATTACACGGCCGCCATCGAGTGCCAGCCCGGCTTCGAGGTGCCCTACTACAACCGGGGGCTGGTGCGCTACCGGCTGGGTACGACCCGGGGCAGGGCAGGGCGGCCCGGGCGCGACCGCCGTGTCCCGGGCGGGGGCACCTGCCTGGCACAGGGGCGGAGAGCGGGTGTCACACCAGAGCCAGGCGGGGCACGCTTTGTCAGGCAGTGACGGGACGTTCGGCTACGAGCCCGCCCCGTGTGTGCAGAGAGACCTCATCGCAGTCTACAACTTCCTCGTTAGAGGAAGAGGAGGGACGGAACTGCTCTCTTTTCTGTGGTGACCAGTGACAGGACCCGAGGGAATGGCCTGAAGTTGTGTCAGGGGAGGTTTAGATATTAGGAAAAGGTTCTTCACCCAGAGGGTGATTCAGTACCGGAACAGGCTCCCCAAGGCAATGGTCACAAAACCAAACCTGACAGAGTTCAAGGAACGTTTGGAGAACACTCTCAGGCACATGGTGTGATTCTTGGGGATGGTCCTCTGCAGGGCCAGGGGTTGGACTCTCTGATCCTTTTGGGTCCCTTCCAACTCAGCACATTCTGTGATTCTAGGTGTGCTGCTGTGTCATTGGAAATTATGCTATTCAGTGAAAAATAGGGGGAAAGGTGCAGTTTCAGCTCTGGAAAAGTCTACATTGGGGTAAAAGAAGCCAGTTCCAAGCAGTGCCATTAAACCTGAGATAAAGCATCTTACGAGCAGGTGTAACTCCAGAGAGCAGAGTCTTCTCGACTTCCAGTTGGCTGCCAGACACTTCTGGGGAATTTCTTGCCCAGGTTTTGACTATGCCATAAGAAGATGACACCTCTGTGCCTTTTGTTGGAGCTTGACTGTTGCAAAGTCCAGACACAGAAGCTGAGGGACTTAAGTGAGCACCAGGAGAATGAAGCCAGACCACAGGCATCATCTGGGAAGCTGTATGCCAGTGTGCCAGGTGTAAAAAAGCCTGACTGTTGGCATGGGCCTTTTGGCTCCTCTCCTGAATTAATAATGTGGCTGAATTGAGCATCAAGTCTGTTTTAGGTTCAAAAATACACACTCTGATTCTTGCTCTGAAACGCTTTGACTCCCACTTGGGCCTCTGGAGAATCCAAATGTAATGAGTCCAATAAGTCCAGCTGCTGTTTTTTGTTAGTGAAAGTACTAGGAGGTGTTCTTCAGTTGTGGTTTGAAAGATAATTATTTTCTTTTTTCCTTTCTTTTTTTTTTTTTTTTTTTGAGACAGGAGACTTTGATGAGGCCATGCAAGATTTCAGGAAAGTGTTAGAGTTAAACCCCCAGTTTGAAGATGCTGCATTGAGTCTAAAACAGACTATTCGTGATAAAGAAGAAAAACAGAAGCGGGGATATTGAACATAGAGCTAGTGGTGTGAAAATGTTCTGCTAAACATGTGACTTTTGTCATTGATGGATGAAACACGAGATCGTTTACATCTGTTATGACCTACTGAAGAAACCTCATTCTTGGGTAAACAAGTTTAAAATGGATATGATTGCAGAATAAACTGTGTTTGGTTAGTGTTGAGGATAAGTATAATGTTGGATCTCTGTGAGGCACGAGTACAGATTTTGTACAGAAATACCTTGTAAAGATTTTGGAAGCTCAGTAGTGGCAAATGAAGCCTGTAGTTCTCTTACTAAAACTTCTTTATTTATTCACAGATTGTTTTAAACAGTTTTTCATGGGGAGGAAACATCAAACTGCACAAAACATTTAAATACTTATGATTGGAGCTCGTGAGAAATGCAATAATGATAGTGTTTGTTCTTTGTTAGGTGTTGTCCTTTAAATTCTCTATGGTGTATGAATTTCTTTTTCATTTCAGAGTGTTTCTGTCTTAAGAAACACTTAACAGAAATAATGAGATCTTTTTAGGTAACACCATCTGTACCTTGCTCAAGGAATGTGGTAGGAGAATTCAGTCCTTTGTTCGTTCATTCACTCCTGGGGTTAGTTTTACGTTACCTAAACAGGTAGGAACAGAGTACACCTCTTTTTTGTAATCCTATTGTAAAAGTTTTGGCCAGATTAATAATTGAAAGAATAAAAATGAACATGTACTTTTTATCTCATGATTGTCTGCAAAAAGCTTTTCTTAGAAAATATTCACAGGAGGAATTGTGGCTTTCTCATTCTTATCAAAGAGATCAATTATCTGAAAAATGCAGTGTTAAATCAGTCTGATGAAACTGGCTGTCAGTACCCAGTCCACCTCATTTCTCATGTGGTAGGAGAGACCATTACTGAAATCATCAACAAGAAACACTCTTGAATGTTCATAACAATACAAGTTCTAATAAAAGAAATACTCTCCTGATTGCCCATGTAAGCATTAGGATTTTTTTTTAAATAAAATTATGCCAGTGACAGTTCTGCTGCTTGTAGCAAGTTCCTCTGTGGATGACCCTGAGCCTGCACAAGCACAGGGCTCACTGAAGATCGTGGGACCCTCTGGGTGAGTCAGTTTGGAGCCTGTGGACATCCTTCACAGCAGCCTCACCGAGATCACTTTCAGCCTTGATATGACACTGCAACAGCTACAATGAGCAAATTTGAAACAGAGGGATGAGAAAATGCTACATTTATCTCTCATGCTCCCGACAGTTGTCTGCAGCAATTTGAAGTTACATAAATACAACGCATGATAGGAGGATGTGACCATTTACAGTTTGGAAAGTAAGCAGTGGCCATTTTTTTCCCCCACAAAGTCTTAATTTTGGACTTTTCTGGATATATTAAGCACATGCGTTGCTACCACTTATCTTAGACCTCTGTCTCCAAAAAACCACAAATACTTTACTGACTTGGCACACTTCATGCCACCTCAGTCTTAAAAAGCGAGAAGTCATACCAACTCTTGGTTGATGGTAAGTGGATGAGCTAGAACTAAATATACTCTTGACTGACCATGCCAAGAAAATTAAAAAGAACAGTTGAATATGACCTATGAAGTTTTACTGTGAGAGGAGAGATCACAGATGTGGTTCTGCACAAAACTCTTTAAGTGACAGGATACAGATAAAAATCAAAACAGTGAATAAGTATTTTAGAAAACAAAGATGCCAGAGATAATATTCCAGCTTGTGGTGTTTTGTGAATATTTCTTAATTACTTCTTGTGCAATCATTGGCACAGAAATATTGCACTGGGCTGGGAGTAATTCTATTGCTGGGAGCAGTTCTATCTTACAGTATTTCCTTGTCTCTCCTATGAAAGGACAAAACTGTCATAGTGCATTTCAGCATAATTTGGAATTCTTTCAAAGTAGTTTTGGCTAGTAGGGTTTTCACATTTTCCCCTTTCATATGCACACGAATCACTTAGTTCTCTGGCTTTACATCACAATACTAATTTGGGTTTTCAGTCTAAAATTATTAAATAGTATATGGTGTTCTTTCACTCAGGCCTGTTGAAAGGGTATTAACCATCATTACTCATATCAAAAAAACCTAAAACTTGAAGAGGAGGATGTATATAGTAACTCCCCTTGTCCTGCAAAGTTTCCTCTCTGTAATAGTTTAAGATTTACAAATCTAATGGAGAGCAATAAAATTCTTTTTATGTAATGTGTTGTGAAATTTGTGCAACCTCTCAGCCTGTAAAAGGAGTAGGGTTATGTGCTTCGGATGTTTCACAATGTGGAGGTGCTGTGGGTTTATACCTCCACAGGGCTTTAGGGGTTGCCTCTGCCTGAGAATTCCACACCCCTGTGGAATGCCCGGGTTGGTCCCATCCCCTCCACCACCCTTGTGAAGCGTTTGCTGGTCAAAGTCGTGAGGCTGCACCAGTATCTCAAACAGATGGTTACTGGAGTGTACACTGACTCCCTTTACTCCAACCAGATATGTTTCAGACATAAAACATTAAAAATTCTCTACTTTTCCAAGGTTTCCTACCTATAAAACTACTCCCCCAAAGCCCTTGACCCTTTCCTTCACACAGCCGTCACTGGCAGCCCCTCCGTTTGTTTGTTCCCCATAGCTGGGGTTAATTTGGCAATGAGTAACTGTTCCCACCTGGTGGTTTACCTCTAAACTTACAAAAAATACATTATTTCCTTAATACATTACAGAATGATGAAGAATAACATCACTGCCTTACAGGACAAGGCAAAGAGTAACATCTTCACTCTGTGCTTTTCAGTGGGACTTTTATTTGTCTTACTGAAACACTACTTGTCACACAGCTTGCAGTGTTCCAAGACCTTTCCCTTGCTTTTGCAGAAAGGTAGGAAAAAGCTGACAGAATCGCAGGTTAGCAGGGCACAGAGCAGCATGAGAAGTGTTTCATATAGGTTTAGTGTGAGATGTGGCGTAGGGAACAAGGAGAGCCTTTCCAAAGGGAAAGCTGTGCCATGATGAGGGCAAAGGGCTGGGTCACCAAGCAGTCAGAATATGTTCCTCTTCCACATGCCTTCTGAGTGACCAACCAAGGTAAGTCAGCATTAAAAGCCTGAAACTCTTTGACTGTTACAACTGAGGACTATAGTGCACTGCCCTGTTCAGTAGGTGACCTGGTAAAAAGTGACTGGAGTGAAAGGTGCCTATGAATCAAACAGCTCTGCAGGTTGTGCTCTCTGTTGTCTGCCACAAGAGGCAGGATTCAGAAAGGCACCCTTGCTAAGAGAAGGATAATATCCAATATTCTTTTATGCTAGCAGATTACTGTGGATCTGCTGCATCCTTTTAATAAAGGCAGGGGCTGGACCATAAAACAGATTCAACCTCAGCCAGTGGCTCTCATGGATAATGGAAACTCTAGCTGCTTTTTATATTAAAAAAAAAAAGAGATCTGGTCAAGGTGGAAGCCCCACCTATCAGCATATTGTGATCATTTCTAGTCTGTTTCTGAAGATTGTTTCCTAGATTTTACCTGTAGGATCCCTTTAGTCTATGAACCTGGAGAGATTGGATGCAGTCCAAAGCATTGCTTCCTACAGCTCATAATGATCAGACTTTTCATCATTCACATCTTTGTGTTGTATGATGAACATGTGAAATGGACCTGAAGGATATCCTTGTCTCCCAGCAAGGAACATCTGGTCCAACTCTGTCCCAGCATCACAACAGTAGCTTGCAACCTAACTCCTGTTACTGTGGAAAAAGCTGATCAGTGCTTTCCAGGCTGAGGACTCCCCATCTTGGCTACTCTTTTGTGCTTCTGTGCATTTTAAATAACTACTTTGCCAATTCCTTTTCTCCACATTGTCTGAATAATGAAGGCTTGTTCAACTATAGTGGTTCTCGAAAGCTAATCCAAGAAAGTCTTTAAGCCCATAGGCTTGAAAACTGCAATCTAGGACAGGAGCTAGGTGCTGAAATTCTATCTGCAACATCTGAGAAGAGGGAATAATCCCAGAAAAACCTCACTGCAGAGCAATACACTTGTACAACAGCATGGCTGAGCCATAGCATGGGAAAGACACTGTTTACCTCAAAGGTAAACAGTGAATTCTCAACTCTAACACACTGTGCGATTTAGTGTGAAAAACATCATCTACCTTGACAGCAACCAAGGCAGGAGGAAGAGACCAAGAACGTGGAATTGCTCTGGCTTGTCTGTGCAAAGTTGGAAACCTGAAATGCCTGTTGAAATGGGAATACAGGTCTGTCTCCCCTTCTCCCTCTCTCTTTCAATATGTCTACGGGAGAAAGATCTCCTCATCCGTCAGATGGTGAAGGAATGGGTACGGAATGCTGCTGGACCCCTTCCTGGCTTTCCAGAGCAAAAGGGGAAGATCTGGGATATCCCACGTGCTGCAGACAAGTTTACCCAAATCTACTCTGCAAGGCTGCAGAGCAAGTGAACTTTAGTGGTGCCACACCAGACCTATCACTTGTCTGCGTGGAACTAGACAGTGTTCTGAGAGTGCGGAGAAAAGAAGGGCTAGCACTTATTTTCCCTTCATTCCAGTTTAAAAATTTCTAAAGGACTGCATTTTAGATTAACAGAAAGTTATCCTAAACCGATGAGTTGCAGTGTTGGCTGTGGACAGCAGAGTGCACTGCTCGTACAGCAGAGGAAGGCAGCACCCAGGCGACTGCTGAGGGGTCTTGGGGTCTTGGCAGTGGCCACAGGAGCTGGGCAAACCCACTGGAGACTGCACAGATGTGTGCTATCAGCTGGCATCGGCATCACTGCACTTGCCCCCTCTTCACTGCTGTTAAACAGCTACACATGCTGCAGCCACACCTGCAGTTACAGTGTAGGCACATCCTGAGAGGTGGTTGTGGGTCAGGTTTCTACTTGATCTCTAAAAAATAATGATGAAGAAGAAAGGCCTTCTGTGTGTACAGAAAACAAAATGCCAGGTAAGTTTTTGCTCATATTAAAGCATCTATCTACTCCCACATTGTAGAGTTAGTCTTTTCCATACAGGGGCAGGTGGGAGGAAAATGAGGAACTAACAGGTTTCTAAGATTCTCAGGTCAATGTAATGATACAGACAAAAATCTGCATTAATGAGGAAAAAAAGCATTGTGTTGCATTTGGAAGCAGCAAGTTGCTTGGCTCTTTGAAGCCAGCGTTGATACACCAGATGGTTGCTGTTGCACATTAGCAAGAAGATGTTCTGTGCTTACATTGCTCTGATGTATTTTTATTTGACTTTTCAGATTTGCACTTTACATTCAGATGTGAGGATTGGCAGTCACTTTATGA